CAGTCCCCTAGATGGCTTCAAATATCCACAATATTCATGTTCTCTTGCTTCCTCCTCCTTATCAGTTACAAAGTCCAAGTCCACTCTCTTGAAAGCTATTCCTGCAGATTCTTGATGGCCCATCAACTAGTGGTAGAGGAATTCTAGTCTTACTGTCTCATAATTTCTCAGGTATGTTTGTGACTCTGTATGCAAAAGAGCATAAGGATGTATCAGAGGGGGGTGCCTCATTTCCAACCAATTGACCCCAACATCTGCATCCTTCAGTCCCCCAGTCCAGTATCTCATCTCAGTCTGTGGTGCGTCAGTAGTTAATTTAGAGTAAGTTCAATATGAATTAAAACATAATTCCTTCTGCTCTGATGAATGAACCTTGCATCTTTGGCACTCTTGAGTGGGGTGGTGCTGGTCTCTGAATGCTATTTCAACCCTCTTCCCCTGCAGTGACCCCTTTTAAGTGCTATTATTTTTAGCACTTCAATTATTAGGAAAGGGGGGATGTTGAAGGGTGGGATGTCATGCAGAGTGACACATAAAGTGTAACCTGACCCATTCTGTTTGCCCATATTTCTGTTGTTCTTCAAAGGCAAAATCTTTAAGATTTCCTAGGAGGGTCCAAGATCCTTTGAAACTGTGTTTTTTCCCTTGGGTCAGGATGTTTATCCAAGCATCCTCAGAAACATAGGCCCTTCAGCTGCTAAAATAATACTGGCTGACGCTGGGTTGTCCTGTGCAGCCATTTCTTGCTTCCTAGCAGGATGTCTAGGTGTCTGTCTAATGACAGGACCTGTCAAAAATCTATATTTTCACTAGGTACTTTATTTACATTATATATGGAGTAATGTTCTTTCAGAGAAAGAATTAAAGGCAGTATAGGGAAGAATAGGTATATGGTAGGATTAGAGGGATCAAACCAAGTAAAATTATATGAGGTTGAAATTTGTATGCAATACTCCAGTTCTGCTATCAGACTCCATGAGGCTTAAACATCTCTAAATTGAGGCTATACCTTTGCAATTGTGTATTTTCCTTTTATACCTGATTTTTTCACAAATTTTAAAGATGGGTTTGTAATAAGCTTAGACTTAGCCTGATTCTCTTGGTTTTCATACTGCTCATTAGCCAATATTGCTTCTGATTTAATAATTTGAAGTGATTTGTTACTTATAGGAGATCTTATGCTTACTTCTGTAAGCATCTGTTTTTATCCCTCAGAGTAGAAATTTAGCCTAATAGGTCCCACAGTTAAGCCACTTTACATCTGTTATTATTCTTGTATTCTGTTAATATACTTTCAATCCAATTACTCCAATTATCCTAAAAATTTCCTTAGGCAGGTCCCATTCAGGCGCACCCCTAATGCTGTAGAACTTCGGTTACAAATTTTAACACTGTGGGCACATTTCCAAGATCAGTTCACTTGCGACATTGAGGATTGTATACCCTTATATACAGTCACCTGGGGAGTACTCAACTCAGCTGGATCATGCCAGTGACATAGTTGTTGCCATCTCTGAGGCCCAGGGGATTCCACCTTCCTGGTCGCTGCAGCCCAGCCCGGTGCACACAGGGAGGGGAAGTCCTGCCCTGTACAGATAATTCTGACAGGGATAAATAGTCTGCTACACCTATTTCTGACACAGAATTGGTTGCCCCTGTCAGTTTCTGCTGCCTTTTCCTATTCCTTGCAAACACTCTCTATTTCTACTTTCTCTATTTCCACATCTTCTTTTCCACTAGGAAAAGTGTCCTTCCTCCTGGTAAGCCTTCCTCCTAGTGAGCTTGCTTCACATCAAGCGGATAGCATGATGCAGTTAAATTACGTGGATGTTTGTGTTTCTCTTCTTCTGTGTCTCACAGCATGCCTGTAGCTTGCCTGTCAGGTCTTGCTGATGCTGCTGAAGAAGCAGTCAGTAAGAATTCCTTTCTCAAAGACGTGGCTGCTGTAATGGCTTTGTGTCCTCCTGTGATCTTATGTTTTACCAGGGAAGAAGTAAACCACTCTTGCCTGGGGCTAGATGTCAAGGTGGTTGTTTTCTCTTAGGACCTCTTTTAACAAAGTGCCTTGTCTTTGCCAGACTTGTCTTTCCTTTTGAATTTCCTCCTCACTACTTCCAGTTTAGCTCAGATAAGACAAAGTTACACAAATGGAAACATCCTATGCGTTACCAAATTGTAGTGGCGCAGAGTACTCCTGTGCTCTCACAGTATTCCACAGGAAGCTCCATTCATTGCCGAGAGGGAGACAGACAGGGAAGTGTCATTTGCCATGATACTCACTGAATACAGAGAAGTATTCGGTTCATCTCAGTGTAGCCTCTTCTGCCTCAGTCCTTGGCACAGGGCTGTGGGGTGTCCTGATGCTGGGCTAATGAGGTTAGAGAGATGATCGTTTGGGAAAAGATTTGCTTGTCTATGCGTCTTCTCAGCTGTTTGGGACAAACCTTTCTTTATGTAACATGTTGGATAGAACAACACTTGTTTTTATGTACAAATGAGAGTCTCATCTAGATTATGGTGAGTCTCACAGCTATTTCTTCTAGACACATCATTACACTGGCATGCTCTGGGCAAATTCTCAGCAAGCCTGTGTTTCTACTACATTTATCCTCTGATCCAAAAAATCATGTTGAAGTTTCAAACCTTTTTCCTTTGAGATACTTAGCTGAACTGAATAAGGTTCATAAACCAATTCCTGCACGTTCTTGAGTAAATTAACAACTTTCTTGACTGAAGAGGGAATGCCTGCTGGAAGGGCAGGGCTCTGATTTTGAGGGATAAATGGAGGCCAAGAGAGATAACAGAATGCAAGGGAGGCTTTTGTTTTGAGACCTGAAAGAAATTTCATTAGAAGCTGAAACAACAATACTTCACCTTCTATTCCATCAACAAGCGGACTTTTTCAGTCTGCCTTCATATGATTATAAGAAATGACATGACAGACACCTATAGGTATGACCACCACTTGCCATTTGTGGAAAGAAATGAAACTTTCTCTTACTGTATAATTGGTATGACTTTGGGAAACAATAAGTTGTCATGGTATAAAGGGAGAAAAGAGAAGAGGACCTTTTCCCTCCAGCCAAATGCGTGATTCACTTGTACATAATTCAAATGACAGACCTGCTTCTAAAGTGGGGACAAGAATAACCTCTTGCTGAGTTTCTCATCTCGCAAAGCACTATCTAGAAAATTCATTCTAGTCCTTACATTCTGTATGACAAGCAAGAATATCCAAAAGTTGGAACAGAACTTCGATGATTTTTCTTGCAATTCAGTCTCAATTCCTGATAATCTCCAGAAAGCTGCCCGGTGTATCTGAGAGGAGAAGCATAGATTTGAGAAGAGATCTTTAAACAGTTTCTAATAAGGAAATATCATAAGTTGAAAAACTAACTCAGTAGAAAAAAAATTTACAATGAAAATATTTAGAAATAAAAAGCAAAAATTGTCCAGGCAGTCTTGGCAACAAGAAATTATAAGGGAAATTAGAAAGATTTTCTTAACAGTCATGCTTGTATTTCTTCTAAACATGTAATCGCTTCTATGCAAATAAACCAAACTTAGGTAAACTAATCCTAAAAACAGGTTGTGCTGGTTCTACTAGTACCGGATTAGCATTTTATGAACACAGGTGTATTTTCAAAAGGGGTCAGTACAGCCCAGCAGTTTCTCTCAGTGTCCCAGCTCCTCAATGTCATCGTAGTCTTTATCTTCAAGAGCAGGAGATGAATCTCTCTCAGCCTTGGAGGTCCTGTTTCCTGACACATTAGGACTCCAGTCTGAAAACAGGAAAAGGGAAGAACACTGAGAGAAACGCATATCCCATACGTATTACCTTTATGTGGTTGTGCAGCTGGCAGCATGGGCTGTTCGTTGACTCCTCCAGAAATTAGAACCACAGATATGCATGGCTGTGAAAGACCTGAGAAATACTTGTCTCATCCTGCCTCCTGCTAGATGTACACGTATCCAAGGATCAAGCTTACTGTTACTAGAAAACAGGTTACTAATCTAACTTTAAACGCTTCTAATAAAGGCAATTCTTCAAGATTCCTAAATAACCCAACTCTGTTTTACTGCTTCAGCTGTTATCTGACACACTGCAAATTTAGTAGACCTGTCCTTGTCTATCCCACGGATGTGCCCTGACCTGGCTCCTCCCAGGGCTATCACAGGCAAGTGCTCAGCCCGTTGTCTGCGTCCAAAACCCATGAAGAGGATGTAACCCACCTTACTCACTGAGGGGTGTTGTTGCCCACAAAGGTATGAGACTTATTGTGAGATACAGGGGATGAGCATCTTGGGATCGTAGAAAACTTGCTATGGGCTGCTTAGGGGAGGAAGCAAAAGCACAGAGAAGGAAGGATCAGTGTAGTTTGGGGAGGAACCAACATGAGAAAACAGAATGATAAGGGGATAAAAGGGGCTGGTGGCATGTAAACAGGCTGCTGGCCAGTGTGCGTTTGGCCATGCCCTGCGTCTGCTCAGCAGCATCTGTCCTGTCTTCTTGTTAAACTCCATTTCTAACTGCTTTTGTGAGTAAGGGGGCTCTCCATACTGTGTGTATGTGTGTGTATGGAGGTCTGAATGCTGGCAACCGGAGCTGGACCATGGGTCAGAGGGGTCTGTGAGTGTGTGGTGCCAACAGCCGGAGAGACCAGAGTGGCCAGACCTCATATGTATCACCAGCTGGGGTGGGACCCCAGGTGTCGGGGACTCACATGCCCAGACACCAGCAACTGGGGGAGGTCAGGGGATCCAGGGGCTAGTTACTTGGTAGAATACCATGTCTGAGCCCAGTTACTAGGGGACACATTGTGCGTATGTGTGGGTGTTAGCGTGCATGTGGGTGTGCAAAGTAACTGGAAAGCCAGGGCGTTCCACGACCAGTTACTGGATAGACTTGAGTGTCTAAGGCCAGTTACTGGTGGAAGTACAGTGTTCGTGTGCATGTGTATGTGGGTTTGTGTGTGTATAGGTCTGGTTACCAGAAACTGGAGTGGGTCTGTCGTCCTCCAGGGTTAGTACATGCAGGTGCATGTAGCTTGAGAGACCTAGGATCCAGGGGCAGCTGCTGGATAGATGAAGTGTCTAAGGCCGTCTACTGGAAGGACCCATACTGTGTGTGTACATATACATTTTCCATCAATAGGCTTTCATCCTGGTCAGCCTGAGAGGGGAACAGGATGAGGCTATTGGTGCTGCTTGTGTCTGAGTCCTATGTTTTCTGTCTGTGTGGGCTCTACAATCCAGCCTTGCGTGTCTGCATATATGTATTATATGTGCATGTGTGCATGGGCATGCCTACACATGTTCAGCCTCACCACTGACTGGACCTAGGGACATGGAACCTCCATCAGAATACCAGATTTAGCAATCCCTAGTGTCTTCTAATCTTTAGAAGACAAAGAACAGATGAGAGAGATGAATATACCTTAACTATACACAGTTCTTGCAAACAGCAAAGTTTGTCACTGCAACAGAGCAGCTTTGTATGAAGTCAACGGCAGGTGAGGTTCACAAATACACTGAGAATTCATTAATGTAAGATAGAAATATATACAACTTTATACCTAATGTTAAAATGAATGTAATCATGGGCTGTGAAAAAAAATCTCTAATGTTTCTCTAAAGTATTTGAGTCCTAAAATACTTTATTTTTTTCATGTCTTCAGTCTGTCAAATATATTTATCACTACCCCAAAAGGTGGAGTTCAGCCGCTGATCAGAAGGTGTTCTGCAGTTATATTAAGTGCAGAGAGAAAGAAAAGTCTATCTTAAACATTTTTTCTGAATTCTTTTTGAATTAGATGGGCCTGACAAAATTTAGTGCTAGGGTAAAAGCATCCTCCAGGCACTATCCACTGTCTTTAAGAACTCACAGAGAATAGTCTCTGAAGGACTGGGAAAACATGAACAACGTGCTTATTTTTAAGATGGTGTGTGCAGGAGAAGAAACAAGGTTAGGAGTTGCAGAGTTTCAACTTTAGAAAGATATGAGAACAAATAAACTACTTATAAGGAGACAGAATAGAAACAGCAGGTAGATAACAAATAACATGGATTTATCAAAAATAAATCACACCAGATAAATCTGTTTTTTCTTTTTGATTATCTAAAAGTGCTTTTGTGAGGGAGTAGAGCAAATTGTCACTCAACTTACATGATATTTTTATAAGTAAACTAGAGAAATATCATCTAACTCAAACCTCTGCAGACTGGATACAATTTCAGTCAAAAATGGTATTCTTAGTGTAGGTCGTTGTACCAGGTAAGATTCTTTGACAGCCCTAAATACAACTAGGTATTTTTATTAAGTCCTAAGATAAAAGATGCATGTCCTTACTATGTTTTTCAGATGATACCATATTATACTGTAATTCAAATGATCCTGGCAAAGTATTGATGGACATAAAATGAAATCTAATAAGAACACTTACAAGACTACAGATGAAGGGAGAAGCAATCAACTGCGTAACTGCAAAGATTGGTGTCTAATGGTATGTAGTGTTTTACAGAGCAGGATTTGAAGTAGCGTCAGGCCAGACATTGAACACTGTCGGGATTGTCATGCTGTTGCAAAAAAGGGAAGCATCACACTAGCATGCATAAACAGAAGGATATACCGTAAGAAATATGAACAGGGAAGAATTTTATAGCTGTAAGGAAATCATAGCATGGGTATAGACTACCTGCAGAGGTTGTGGAGACACTGCTACTAAATGGCTGTAAGAACAGAATAACAAACATCTTAGCGATGCTCTTCATTTAAGGAGGTAGTGTTCCTTCCTGACAGTGGTTAGGTAAAACCTAGGTGATCCCTTGAGGTACCCTCCACCTTGATTTTCCGTGGGTTCAGTATAGTAACTATAGATTATGAAAACTAACAGTGCTGCTCTTCTGGCCTCACCTGTCCGTGAATCCTTGTTTCCGTCATTTTCTTCAGGGATCCCAGTGATTTCCTGTTCATTCTGCCCAGAAAGAGAAGCATCTTTAGGTCCAGGAGCTTCTGTCACATCATCGTAACCATCTTCCAGGGCTTTTCCAGGCAGTGGGGAGACTTCTGAAACAGTACAGATACAAACTATAACAGGGAGAGATCTTCGACTAAAGGAAGCAGTAGGTGATGATCCAGCGATAAGAGACTGTAATACTGATATTATCATGATGGTAATGGGTGATAATAAACCTTTAAGGTATTCCAGACAACAATGATATAGCTCCAATAATTGTTCTACATTGCTGTAAGAAGTAGAAAGTGAAAATCAACATGGAGGAGGGACAGAAGGGGGAAGAAGATCTGGAGAAAGAAGCAGTTAGTGACAGGGTTTGTTTCAGAGTAAGATTCCCCATTGCATTTCATAATTGCAGAATGACAAATTACTCTTTGTTGATCTCTGTGTAGCATCTGCTTCCTGGTCTTTTTATTACTTTAACCACCTTCTGCTAAATGTCTCTGAAATGGTCTAGCTAAGTAGTCACCCTTGATCATTTGCCTATGGGCATGTGGCTACAAACTTAGGCCAAACCCTTGGAGAAAAATATCTGCAGTTCCACTTCTCTTTTCCAGAACCTCAATTCTTTCAACCTTTCCTCATAGGAGAGGTGCTCCAGCCCTCTGATCGTTTCTGTGGCTCTCCTCTGGACCTGCTCCCACAGGTCCATGTCTTTCTTGTGCTTGAGGGCTCCAGAGCTGGACGCAGGACTCCAGGTGGGGTCTCACCAGAGCGGAGTTGAGGGGCAGAATCACCTTCCTCAAAATTCTGGCCACGCTGCTTTTGATGCAGCCCAAGACGTGGTTGGCTTTCTGGGCTGCAAGTGCACATTGCTGGCTCATGTCTAGCTTTTCATCTACCAGTACCCCCAAGTCCTTCTTGGCAGGGCTGCTCTCAATTGCTTCATCCCCCAGTTTGTACTGATCCTGGGGATTGCCCCGAGCCAAGTGTAGGACCTTGCACTTGGCCTTGTTGAACTTCATGAGGTGAGGTTTGTATTTGCCCATATCTCAAACCTCTCAAGGTCCCTCTGGATGGCATTCCTTCCGCCAAGTGTATCTACTCAGCATGGTGTCATCCACAAACTTGCTGAGGGTGCACTCAATCTTGCTATGTCATTAATGAGGTTATTGAACAGTACTGGTCCGGTCCTAGTACAGACCCCTTAGGGACACCACTTGTCACGGATCTCTGTTTGGACATTGAGCCATTGACTGCAACTCTTTGGATGCGGCCATCCAACCAATTGCTTATTCGTTGAATAGTCCATCCATCAAACTCAGGTCTGTGAGTAGCCAGCTCTCTGATTCTGCAGGGGCAGCTAGCTCTGTGGTCTGTACTTAACTGGAAGCCATCCCTCAAACAATATTAGTTTTCACTGTTTTATAGTATATAGATACACACGTGGACATGCATACATAAAAGCCAGTCAAAGCGCTTCTGTTTCACTTTTTACCTAGTACTCAATATGCAATGTGAAAGAATCAAGAAAAAGAGATCTTACTTGGAATAATTGTCTTCGTGATGAGCATTTCCAAGAAAGTAAGGAAAAGCTTTTAGTTTAATTTTAAATAATAAACAACTCTTAATGAAAATCAATAGGAAATAAAGATATAGCACAACACAGAGTCAGTGATATGGGCCGCTGAGGTCCAAAACTGCTCGTGCCTTTGGCAGTTGATCTCTCTGAGAACAGGCAATAGGTAAGAGAGCTTTTGCATCAGCTCTAGGAAAATGCAGTTCTGCTCCAAACACTTGCTCTCCCTCAGCTTTTTCAAATTAAAAAACCCCACATCTGTCCTACTGCATTTTCTTCAGATCACTTGGAATAAAATCCTTAATCAACTCCAATGTTTTGCCAATGTTCTTATCTGAAGCATGGTTTACCTCTGTCTTAATTCTCCCTGTTTATCTCAGAAATGAAGCAACAGCTTATAAGCTGCTGCAGTTGCAATTTCTGGGAGAGGCAGTTGACAAATTGTTGGATTTGTGCAACTGAATCCTGTGAAGAGTGCAGTACTATCAACAGACATATATTTTCAGCTTCTCATGTAGAAGAGTAGCACTTGTATACGAGATTGTATGACATTCTTCCACTACGAGACTTAAACAGAAGTTTTTGGTGCACATCAAAACATCACTAGTGGACATGAATTGCAGCAAGAAAAGAGTTTTAATCACCAATAATGCTTTGGAAATTAGAAGCTACCCTGATTTTGAGTCTCTTTCTTTGTAGGATTCCCATCTTCCATTACCTTGAGTTGCTCCAGGACTGTTTTCTTCGTCACTGTCCCCGCTATAAAAGTGTGCTTTTGTTTTTGAGCTCTCTGAATAAGAATCTAGATGAATGAGAAAGCGTGTGATATCAGATTAAACTCCCCTTAACTGCTAAAACTGCATCATGAGGAAAAGAGTAGGCTACAGTAATACCACACAAGTCAAGCAGATTCCTTGGCAGTCAGTATTACTACTGCAAGGTAAAGGGCTTACAGTGGAATAGTCGAGAATCCCTCAGGGGCCCTGTAACATCTCTTGTGGCTGCTGGGGGAGGCAAGCCATGAAGGGAGAAAAGCAGTCGACAGGAGGAAGCCTACAGAGATGCATAGCTGCTGGGAGTGAGATATAAATTATTCCTTTATTTGTTCTTGCTTTAAATAATTTCAGCAAAAGCCTTCTTGTTTGTTTGTTTGGGGTTAGTTTATTTGTTTGTTTGACCTATACTGATCTATGTTTTATAGCTGCAGTGAGGACAGCCCAGAATGAATTGTCCCTAGGAGAGCAATAGGCAGAATCCAGTGGGCAGAAAACCCCTCTCCTCAAATCTAGGATTTTCTATTTCCTAGTACATTTTGGAGCTTGAAAGTATCAGACTGGGATCTGGGCCACGAGGAGGAATTAGCCTCAGTTGTTTTCCCTTGACAATAGCAAGACGCACAGACCTGAGAGGCCAGCCATGCCCTGCTTCTCCCTCAGCAGGTTATAGTCGATCTCTTCATAGACAGCCTCAGAGAAGGGGTCATAGGATAGTCTGGAGCCTGAAAGTAAAAGGCAATGATCACTCACACAGTCTCTGCTCATACTCAGGCTGGGGTCGTGAAGAGGAGAAGTGACCTAAAGGGGTCTACATGGCCTGGTTAGTACCCAGAAAGTCACCATGAGCTGCTGACTAAGGATAAGCACTACTTGGCTCTTTCACTGTCAGATGGTAAGTGAGGATCTCAGTGTGGTAGCAGGTGCCATTCATTTCAGTCACCTATGCCCCTCGCCTCCCCAGCCAGCCATGTCATTGAGGTGTTTCATACCCCTGAGGGACCCACCTCTCTGCTGTGCCCTGGCGCTTTGGATCTGTCCAGCGAGAATGGCGAGGACCAGGCAGAGAAGGGTCCCCAGGATAATGCAGAAGATGATGGGCATTGAAATTCTCGTAGTCTCTGTTGCAGGGCGGCGGGGACGATCTGAATGGAAATGAAGAAGCAACAGGCAGAGAATCAGGTGACCCAAAGGGCTGCTCCTCTGTAGCGTCCTGCTGTGCCCATGCTAGCAGGTCACTTGCTGCCCAGTTTTGGATCCTGCTCAAGCAGCCGGAATTCAGCAGCTGGGGATAGTGCTGCTTGGGTCTCCTTTACAAAAGGCTGTGGGAGATCCTTTCTGATGAGCTGGAATATACTGCTGATTTACATGCTATGCAAGTAGCAGGGACATGAAATCCTCTTTTGCTGGGAGAAAGAAAGGGGGAAGAAGAAATGTTTTACCTGCTCTGGTGGGTGATGCTGTTGTTTCTGTCATACCTGCAAAAGGAAGGCGAGTTCAGATTAAGGAAGAGGCAAGTGTGAAAAATAACAAGAACATCTCCACATCATTTGTGAGGTTCCTGCAGTCAAAATTATGAAGGGGATAGTCACTGGGATGTACAGCTGACATAATGTTTATCCACCTCCTTCCCAGATCTGTGTAAAGGACCAGTCACTAACCGGAGCAATCCACAGCGGCATCTTCCTTATGATCACATATTTTGCTGAACAAGATCTTGGCAGGACAGTCCCAAAGAGACAGCTCCGTTCCTTTACAGTGCACCTTCTCCAACCAGATGGGACCAGTCCCTTCCCCAAAGGCAGCTTCACTCAAAGCAGACACAGCAGATCCACAGCCCAGCTGTCTGCATACGACGTTAGCATCTGCCACGTCCCAGGAATCATCACAGACTGTTCCCCAAGAACCTTGGTGCCAAATCTCCACTCTGCCTGAACATCCATCCTCTCCTCCTATGACTCGTAACTTCTCCCTGTCTGCAAAACACAGAAACCTTCTGTATTCCTGAAACAGCAGGATGGTCCATAGGGACCAATAAGAAGAAACAAAGATGTAGAGGTACCTGAACAACTTGTAGAGTTTGGACACTCAGCAAATGTGGCTGGAGACGTTGCCTCTTTTCTTCCTGCAGAATTTAAAAATTGAAGTAAATTATTTGATTATCATTGCCTGAAAATTAATCAAGTTAATTTTGTCCTATGTTATATATATGGCTATTTAATACTTGTTGGATCACTGTTTGGCTATTATTGTGAATAAAATAATCTTCCTGGTGCTTGCTTTCTTATTCTGTGAGGCAGCTGCAATCCCTTTCAGGAGATCTGAATGTCATCTAGAATTTATTGATTTCATAGGGGGAACCCACAGGTGTGAAGTACTGTCATAAGAACAGGCATTAGAAATGGGCCTTTGGAACTGGACTATTCATACACTTGTCCACGGCTATGTGCATGTGTATGTGTACATGTAGATATGCACTGATATGCCTCCATACATGCAGAAACACATACATGCCTCTAGACTTTTTGAGGAGTCTGATCCTAACTCAGACCTCAGAGACTGGCTGTGTATCATAGATTTTTACTTTGAAAACATGCAATGGCACCATCCTATCAGGGACTTCCTTGGGATTTCCACTGGGTAACTGCACTTGGTGACACTCATGTAATTTTAATTCACTCCTTTACATCAGGGATATAGACAAAGAAAAATGTTTGCGCTATTTGCATAAAACTGGAAATTATGTATACCAGATAACAAATGAACATAAGGCAATTACTACAATGTCTGTATATGCATGCACAGGTTTATGTATATGTCTGGGCAGTGCTTTACAGATGCATTTCTAATTACCAGTGCAAGAAATATGGGTCTCTTCTGCTCGGTTATCACATGACTGAGGATTCCAGGGGTCTGACTGACATTGCCAGAGAGAGCTGTGGCGCTCAGTACACTCAATGTGGTCCAGCCATGTGGGCCCAGAACCTTTGCCATATTTGAAGTCTCTTGCGATTTCCCCACTATCTCCGCAGTTCAGGTGTTTGCATACAGTTATTGCAGTGAGTTGAGACATATAATTGGAGCAAATGCTCCCCCATGTCCCGTTGTAGAAAACTTCTAGCCGCCCAGCACAGTCACTGCCGTTTGCCAGCCTCAGAGCCAGGAACTCTAGAAGTGAAGACATAAAAATGGAATTAGAGGGGCCTGATTCTGCTAGGAACTTGGATGTGATGAGTGAAATCCAGAATCTGCTAACAATCCTGTTCATCACTCAGAATGAGAAAGTGTCAGAGGAAACCATGCTATAAGTGAGAAACACTTAAAACCAAAAGTCCTACAGTGATTGTCTCTGGTTAGCCAGCCTTCACCAGCATCTATATCAACAAACCTATTGACACATTTCTTTGGAATGTTGGAGCGTAGGTGCCATGTGCTTCTCTTTTTTGTTGAAGTTTCGGGGTACAATGACTTGTTTACAATAATTTCAGAGCCAGCTGGAATGGCTCCCCTGTGGAAGCACAGGGCACCCCTGCAGCCTCCAGTGACTCAAACCCTGCCAGTTGTACCCGATACATTTCACCGCTTACCTGTGTGAAACATCTGTTAAGAAGTGTTTGAACATAAATCCATTATAAACTCTACCTTACCATCATCATAGTCATAAAATACATGCATTATAAACTCTACCTTTGGTCCCAGACAATAGGTATTGACATTGTAACAGTGTACACATAGAGTTGATAAAATGCTACTTCTCGTTCTGGGAACCACATTATAGGAATTAACATCATACAAATCTCAACATATATTTATTACAAGATTGTAAATCTTGTAAATTGTCTATTGTAAACCATCATTCTCCAGCAGGCCTCCATCTAGATCAAACAGGACTGTTCTAAGGTGACTTTGTGTTTAAGATCACCCCTTGTTTTTCCAGGGAAACAATTATTTTGAGGCTTTTGGCCCCTTGGTCAGTTTGATACCGCTTTCAGCAAATTACTTGGATTGCCAAGGGACTGACACCTGGGTCTATTTCAGCAATGTTTGTGTGATTAGAGAGTCCTACAGAGTCCCATAGCTGGTTCTCACCTGTGTAAGCTACACTGCCTGTTCCAAAAAACCGAAGCCTTTCTGTCCCATCCATCCATCTCCAGTGGTCAAGAAAGTCAATGTCAAGGATGACGGGGCAGTAGGGCCAGTGGCAGCAGGTAAGGTATACCAAGCCCATCTATTCAAGCTTACGTTCCTTTCCTCCAGAGCTGGGTGTTTCTCCTCCAGTTACTCCAAGAACTATTTGTTTATCACTGCTAGACAGAGAGGATGATAAGGTGCACTGAGTGCTACTATCGTTAGGTACTGACTAGCACACAACATTATTGAGGCAAGGGTGCCTGGCTGCCTTATCTGGACAGTCTAATAACTGGTTAACTTCATCCACTGCCAGGCCAGGGGAGAACCCCCCAGTGCAGTAAGTTCATATCAGTTGTCAGAGCAGTACGTGGTCCAGAAGTGGGGTTAGAAGAAGGGAGTGGTTTAAATAAGCTCTCAGCTCTCTCCTGTGCTCACAAAGCTAGGTCTATAAAGGGCTTTTCCTCCTAGTCTCTCGTATAGTCTCGCTTTTCTTTCAGATGCATTCTTACATCTCAGTGTGTAGGAGAGGCACATACAGAACTCTTATTCTCCCTTTATGTTTTTCCTGAGGTTGACCATACAGCTGGATCCTCAGTATTATCCTCGTCTGCGCTGCTAAGCCTGCATTCTTCTTCTGGAATGCTCAGTGCAGAATGGTAACATAGGTCATGCTTTGATCAACAGGGCATCCCACCAGGCGGTACCACAGGGGCATTAGTAACTGTGCCTAACCATTGGAGATTCCAAGCACTAGCATTGGTGATCACAAGCTTTTCAGGGTCCCTCTCCCTTTGCCTGTAACCACACTTCAGCAGTCCAGCAGATTGCAGTTGATTATCCCTTCTTCCCAGTCCTTTCAAAGGCGTGTTTTGTTTGTAGAATCAGCACCATTGGGCACTGCTCAACATATCTCTCCATAAACTGATCCCAAAGCCCTCCTACATTGTACAGTACAGTCTTTACAAGTGGCTTATGCCCCGAACTCCCCAAGCTCCTGCTGTCTCAAGTTTTCAGCTGTATCTCTTTAGCTCTGGTGTCCCAGTAATGCCATAGCCACTGCAGAGGCATCTCCCTGGAGCAGTGACTGTAAGTTTCTACACGTTTCTCCATTCATTTACACTCAGAGTAAAGACTCATTGAGTGGTCACAATCTGGAGTGCGGTGTACCCTTTTCTGTAGGGCTCTTTAATTACTGTAACTAGGGCTGCCTGAAAGGACTCATTTTTTAATTCATCGTGAGCCCCTAGTTTCTCCTCCAAAGGTGTCAGGGTTCCCCTCCACATCAGTCAGTCTAAGCTGTAGGTGCTCCGACAAGCAGCCTAAAGCTTGCAATTTGACCATTTCACTGCTACTAGCTGCAAACTTCGAACCAGAATCCTCCCTTTTGTGCTGAGCACTGGTTAACACCACTTTGCCAGACCATTGCTCTGACAGAGGCCATCAGCCAGGTTCTTCAGCCCTACTAAGCTGTCCCAGTGCCTCTCGAAGCCCTGCTGTGAACACATGGTAGGCTCTGGTGTACCCCACAGCAAAGCAACACACCACTCGCTTGGGGTTTCAAAGGCAACATAACCCCTTTGCATCTCCAAGACTGATATTCTTGGACACAAGAATATCCAGGCTCCAGGCCACTGGATTTCTTCCCAATCACCTTCCCCTTCAACAAGAGCTGTCACACTCTCCATTTCCCACCTGTTTACACATAGTTTGTATCCTTCCCTGCATCCTCTGTTCCCGTCACCCATCCTCCCTCCCCCCGCCCCCACGAATGGGTGTACCATTTACACCACATCACAACAAGACAAATTTCCAATATCAGAATCAAGGCTTTTTGGACCTTTGAAGTCACTGCAATTATTCCATTTCCAGGGCGTGCCAAGTACTAGTGTTGCCAGAGTGCTTCCCACATTTACTGTCTGCTATCATGGGCAAAACAGTTTCCACTTGGGACATTTAACTTAATTTTATTTTTTGCACTTAACATAATCTTAATTATTGCTTTAAGCAATGAGGAAAAAAGAAAACATTAACAATTAGACAAACACTTAGGGTAACATCTTTGATCCACTCCATTAGTCCTAACTTCCTTTGTTTGCCTTCCCAGCTCCTTCAGTGAGTGTGGCAGTTCAGGAGGTTGTGTTTTTTTTCTGCCACTCTTTGCTTCATATTCATTTTCCGCTGCTCCAGCACGGATGTCCCACTGGCTGCAGTCTACTCAGTGGTTGTATTTGCTCCATTGTGAGCTCTCCACAGGCTGCAGTCCCTTCAGAGTTTGTACTTGCTCCATCGTGGGCCCTCCACAGGCTGCAGTCCCTTCAGGAGTGTAGCTGTTCCACTGTGGCTTAGCCACAGGCCGCAGCCCTCTCAGAGGCATACCTCCTCTGGTGTGGAAACCATGTCTCCAGCCATGTCCCCAGCAGTGTCTTTTTCCACTTCTTCATTTGTCCTCTCCCATGCAGCTGCCACTCTGTCTTAAATAGGCATGAGCAGAGCCACCATATGATCCTCTGGTTGATTGATGCTTTGGTGCACAGTGAGTTGTTTCCAGTGGTTTCAGAGCCAGCTGTAACTGACTGTAATGGGCACCTGGCAGCTGATGACCTCCTCCCGCACAAGAACGCCCACAACACCTTGCTGTGGATATCTTTACAGAAACCTTCCAATTTACCCCCAAATATCCTGCCCCACCACACACTTTTTTTGTGTGTGTGCATTGACACAAAATAAGGACTTCTGTAGACCCTTTGCATCTTAGTGGGACCAAGGGGATGAGCTGACCAACTATGCTTGTAGTCAAGAGAGCAAGAGGCTGTCTGAGAAAATTTCTGCTATTCTCTGCTTCCCCTTCATGAAACACTCCCCTTTCTACACATAGGCTCAGAAAAGGATTTTCCAAACACACCTGAGCACAGGACTCCAGCATCCTCTTTGTGTTGGCAGTTGTGCTGGCCCCATGCCCTAGACGGACATGCCCAGAGATCAGATTCAGCCCCAGTGCAGTTCACATCATCCAGCCAGATCTGTCCTGAGCCTTCGCCATAATGAGCAGAGACAAATGCCTTGATGGCATGTCCACATCCCAGCTGTTTGCAAACAATGTTAGCATCTGATAGATCCCAGTTATCATCACAGACGGTGCCCCAGATACCATCATGATAAAGCTCTACTCTCCCAGCACAGTGCGTTGTTCCATTCACCAGCCTGATCTGTCTGCTACCTGCCGGAAGAAAAACCAGTTGTCAACATGCAACATAACGATAATGCACAGGTCAGCATAATGGCCGTATGTTCAAAGCACTTTTAAGGCACTTAAAAAAATGCCTTAAAAGTGCTTTAAACATACGGCCATTATATGGCCATTATCATCATAAGAACATGATGCCATAACATCAACCATCTTCTGTTATGGTTTCCTGGGCAGAACTGTGATGCTAAAACCACCTAAAGTGAAAGACCTGCTCCTTCATCAGGTGAATGTTTGAATAATTCCTGTGAGATGTTGCAAACAAGGAGGAGTGCCTGGTCATACTAAGTATATGCAGAGATCACCTTATCCTAGAAAACCAGAGAAGCTGTTTTCTACTTAAACTCATTTAGTTAGACAGAGATGGAGACAGTTTCTGTTACAAAATAAGAGAAGGGTAGAAACAACTCTAGTTTACTTTAGAAAGGCTGCAAGTATCTATAAATATAGAAATGTCACAAAATAAAACCTGTTTAATTCTCAAGTGACAGAGTGTGTGGCAGTCATGGCCAAATTAGTGTTTCTGTGGCTTCTGTATTCTATTATTTTTGATTCTGTGAGTCAAATTCTTTAAAAAATTCAGGTGAAGAAAGCATTATGTAAGTTATGCTTGCTTCCTTAACTATCATTTGTCCCTTAGAGTGTACAAGCAGGTGGGTATCACAAGCTCAGACTCATGCCTATTTAAGATCTGGTGAGACCACAGCACAAGGTGGGCTAGAGGCAACCGTAGAAAGTGTTCTGTACCTTTCGCACAGTAACTCACCTGAGCAAACCACACCAACGTCTTCAGCAACTCCTGTTGGTACTGTCTGAGAGTGGGAGGTCTTACAGAGCATCAGCTGAGTCTCATTTCCAGTGCACTGGACACTTCTTAAGCCAACAAGACCCATGCCTCGCTCAGACCTTGGAAGGTAATAGGCTTTCTTGGCAGTTCCACACCGGAGCTGTCTGCATACCACATGAGCATCCTTAATGTCCCAGTCATCATCCAGAACTCTGCTCCACGTGCCATGGAGTGAGATCTCAACTCGCCCATCACAGCGGCTCTCACCACCTGAGAGTCTGAGTGATTCAGCAAGACCTGGGCTCAAGAGAGTTGGAAAATGTATTGAATAACATCTATTGCTCTTAATGCAGTAGAAATAACATGCAGGAGAGAGATGGAAGACAAGTTTCTATGTTGGTAAAAAAGTAATTCTCACCACTGGCTAAGGAGGCAGCCTCTGTTAAGGCTTTGTTTGCTTTCATGCACACAAGGGTCTGCCGTTGGAAGCGAGAGGCTTCCCCAGCTCAAAGACTAGATGCTATGAGGAGTCAGGCACATCTACACAGTGTGAATCCCTGTACTAAATGAAGTTTCTATGCTGAAACCAGGGTTGGAAGGATGGGAGAGAGGACAGGAAGGAGAAGGACATTAAAGACAGGCTGACATGTCAGACTTGCTTGGCAAAGTGAGATCACCAACGCTGCTTTGGTCTGAAGTTGCGCTACCCAGAAAAGGCCACTTCTGACTAACCTGAGCAAATAACAGTGGCTGCTTCTCTGGCTGGACAGGTTGGATTTCCCAAAGTCACTTGAGCACAATCCCAAAGGCAGGACTCTGTCCCTTTACAGTGAAAAGCATCTCTCCATACAGGTCCATTCCCATCCACAAAACGGTCTCCTGTCTGGATTGTCTTTGCGTAGCCACAGTTCAGCTGATGACAGAGAACACTTGCAGCTTGCAAATTCCAGTGGGAGCGGCAGAGTCTTCCCCACGTGTCTCCATGGTGGATCTCCACTCTGCCAGAGCATGTGGTGCCATTCACCAACCTGCACCCTGGGCACCCTGAATGTAAGAGAAAATAAGTACTGAGATATCGAGTTTGTAACTGCTCCTGGGCATGACCTGAAAGTGACTGGGAGATGGGAATGAGTTTTGCTTAGCATTCAGTAGTAAAAATGACTCCACTGGGCCAATGGAACTTGCATACTCATAACTAGACTTCAGTCCACCCTGTTTTACTGCGAAGAATGACTACAAATCAGGATCTGGTCCTCTTTGCAATTTTTAAAGTCAGGGCTCTAGATTTCAGGGCTCTGGGTGAACCAATAGACCTTACTTGTTCTGAGCAGCCTCACCTAGGGCCTCCAGCTATGTACCCCTGGGCTGCTGGTCCAAGGCCTCACTTAAACCTGGACCAGGCCTTCAGTCCAACTATGTGACTGGCGTAACTGTCTACAGTCTTGTCTCCTGCTACTCCTGACTGTACTCTCCAGCTGGACCCTGCATCTGATTGATTACTTTGCCTTGTCTGGTACTGTCCATAGACCTTCCTCTGTCCTCTGTGCAAGTGCTTTGGATTGTGCCTTGGTGGGTAAGGACACTGCCTGTGTTGTCCTCACCCTCTGCCCTAGCTCATTGTACCTTGAGGAGCAGCGCTGTTCTTGCTGTTCCGTGACACTAGGAGCATTTCACAGAGAGCAGCCTTATGGGACAGGTGAAGCACAGCCTCGAATCCTGGAAATGCCAGCAGCAGCAGACAAAGGACAGACCTTGGCTCCACAGACACTTTCTGGATTTTGGGTCCATATTTTTCCTCAAAGAAGGAGTTTTTCAGTTCTCCTCTTAGAGCTTTCTGCTGCTCACCTGAACATACCACACGAGCGTCTTTTCCGGCAGGGCATTCAGCATCACGTAGCACACTCACAGGACAGTCTCTCAGGTGTGAGCCAGTCTTCTGGCAGCTGAATGTTCCGTTCCAGACAGATCCATTTCCTTTCCCGAAGGAACGTCCACCTGGTATCAGGAGGGCAACTCCACAGTCCAGCTGCTGGCAGAGGGCATCAGCATCTGGTAAATCCCACAGGTAGTCACACAAGGTTCCCCAGGTGCCTCCATGAAGAAGCTCTACTCTCCCTGAACATGTGGTACTGCCATTTGCCAGCCTGTACCCACCATAGCCTGCAGGAAGAATAAAGGAACTTAGCAGTTGCATTTGTTCTGGTGCTATTGCATTGAAAATTGTGAGAGAGATCTAGCTGCAAGGAACTAGCTGCGAGGAACTAGCACTCACTATGTCTCAGGTTACTGGGAAGCTTGTTAGACCAGGATGCTCATAAGCCACCTCTGAAAAAAAAAGTCTTTGTTGTCCAAGTTGTAGCCTGCACTACATGACTGAAAGTCTTTTGACTCTTGAAGTTCAGTCTCTCCTCCTCTGCTCTGCTTTGCTCTGCTCTGTTCTGCTCTCTCCTTCCCCCACAATACTGCTGGTACCTCGCAACATCTTCTCTTGCAGAGGCAGTGCCAGCATTGCCTTGCATTTGGAGCATGTGACAAACTCGGAGTGGGGGCTATCAGTAGCACTCTCTCTCCCAGTAGCTGGTTGTCTCACGTTACCCAGTAAGCAACAACTGCAGTGTGCAATTCTCAGCTTTCATCCATGCCACAGCATAAGGCTCTGAACACAACAGGCCATGCCCATCAGCATATTTGCAATAATTTAAGTGTGACATGGGCAGGGCTATGGTGTCCTGCTGCCAGCCTGATGAGGTCCCTCTATATTTTCACACAGCTACTTCTTTCCCTTGCCTGGTCCTTGCGTTGCACTCCCCCTAATGAGACCTGGATTTCTGCTCTGACCTGCGACTCTTGCAAGATGGAGGCAGGAGCCAAGACCTGTTAGTTTCTGGTACCTTAACTGGGCCCTTTCACTGCCACAGCTTCCCAGCCGGTGTTCCAGATTGCCATGACCGGTGGGACAATGTCCAAGGCAGTCTTGAAACCGACTGCAGCCCTTTGACTGGGAAATGGACATGAACTGCAGTCCTTTCCAGGCTTGTTTTGTGACAGGGTGTTGCCAGCAGCTCTGCCCCAGGCTCAGTTTACCCATTTTGATTTGTGCCCTTGGGAAAAAAATTGTTTTCTAGGTCTAATGATCACTTTTGTAGTGGGTGGCAATAAGTTAGCTGTATTTAGAGCCCTCTGCAGCCATGACTGTATGGAGTTCTTAAATAATGTTATCTGGCAGTCACAACTAAAGTCATCCAGGCCTACAACAACTTTTTCTTTTTTTTTTTAAACAACTGAAATTTGTAACTTGTGCCTCTTTTGACCTTTGGAGGTATGGTACCTCTCCCAGTTTTATAATTGACTGAAGGAGCAGGAATTAACATACACACTGGCAGCACAGGAAATAATAAATTAATTTCTGCATGTTCCTGCTTGTCTGCTCTGGCCACCTCTACTTTCATCTAGATAAGAAAGACATGGAAGGAATTACAGCCCTTTTGAGATCCGCATCCCTGGTGCAGAAGTGAAGTGGTTAGAACAGCCCCTGTTAAACGCAGACTCAGCAGAGTGAATGAGAGATCATGGGGCTGCTCGCTGTGACTTCCTGGCCTTCCCGGGGTGGCTCAAGGCATAATAGGGAAAGCACCCACGAACCCTGAGGACCACAGAAAAGTGCAGAGGCTCTGAACTGTGGATTGACAGGAAGAAGTCATGTAGGACACGTGTAAATTACGTCCGTCAGTCCGAAGTCTCACCTGAACATACAACAGTGGCATCATGAGAGCATGTCTTATTCTGGCGTAGCATCCTGGGACAATCAGATCAGTTCACGTCTGTCTCCGAAGTGAGTTCCTCTCAAGATATCCACAGCCTGGCCACACTCTAACTCATTACATATAACAGAGGCAGTTTTGAAATCAATGTGTGAAAAGCAGACCGTAGCCCAAGTTTCTTCTTGCTTAACTTCCAGATGTCCTGAGCAGGCTGTGTCCCCTCCAGTCAGACGCAGCCCAGAGAAACCTGGAAAAAAAGCCCCAAGAAATCCAACATCAAGGGTTGGTTGTACCGTCCTAATTTAATAACTCCCATACTTCCATGAGCAAGACACATGTCACTTCTCTGAGGACCACTGACGCTTTTAAATAAACATTGTGGCAATTCCTGTATGCCACTGACAAGAGAGAAAATGATGTGTGGGAATGAGTATTTCTTAGTATGTGAAAATACTAAATCCTTGGAAAGCTGCAGAAGGAGGGAAGTTTTGAACATTTGCCAAATGCTTGAGAAGTAGCAACCCCCAAATAAATAAATCAATAAATAAAAAGCCATTTACTAGTGTGTGTCCTTGAGACTTCGTTATTCAAATGAATTAGAAACTGAAGCACCCCAGAAAGAAGAAACAGGAAATGTTGCACCCATCTTCAGAAAGGAAAGGCTAAAAGGACAGTCTGGAGACCTACAGGCTGGTCAGCCTCATGTTGGTACCTGGGAAAAACATGGGGTGAGTCCTCCTGAAACATATTTCTGGGCACAAGAAAGTGAATGGGAAGAGTCAGCATGAATTTACCAAGAGTAAATCATACCTGTGTGACCTTACTACTTTCTCTGATAAAAGTGGCTGGATTTGTGGATGAGGGGAGACAAGTGCATGTCATTTACCTCACATTTAGCAAGGCCTTTGACACTGTCTTGCACAATATTCTTGTGTCCAAACCAGGATGTTGCAGACTGGCTGGGTGGATACCTATATGGTTAAAAATCCGTTGGATGGTCAGGCTCACAGAGTAGTGATTAGTGGGTTGCACTTGACCTGGAGCCTGACAACAAGTGAAATATCACTTGTTGGATCTTTCCTGAGACCTGTTCTGTTCAGCATCTTTACCAACACCCTGGAGGAGGTGATGAAGAGCAGTCTTAGCAATTTGGAGGGTGGGGGGAGATAACTGCAGAGCAGTCATTCAGAGGGACCTAAACAGGCTGGATTAATGGGCTGACAGGAACCTTATAAAAATCAAAAAGGACAAATGTAAAGTCCTGAAGCTGGGAAGTAAAAACCTCTTGCAATGGTACTTTATCCAAAGAGCAAAACCAAGCACATCTTGCAGAGGAAGGCAGCCAAACAGACATTGGATTTGTTGCCATTGCAGACTGTCCTGTTTTAGCTTACATGAAGATTGGGAGAAAGGCAGTTGTATGGTATAACACTGCATTTTCTTGCTTTTCCATCTACACCGGCTTTTTTAGCCCCCATTCCCGGTCAAAGACAAGTTTAATACTGCACTCCTGTTGCCTGGGAGAGCTGTGGTAGAAACAAATAGTATTTCTTTTTCTGTTCTATGATGTCATTTACTATGTCTGCTTCCATTCTATGTCATTGCTGTGCCCAGGCAAAGGACACATACACTTGTAGTCAGCAGAAGACTTAATGCTGATGCAACATGCTTTGGCTGAGCAGAGACCATGGAGGAATCGTTACCTCTGTGCAATGCTTGGCTTTATCCAGCTAGAACAAAGTTTGATCTCAGCCTTGTAGCATTTTTCTATTATACAAGGTTGGATGACTTCTTACCTGAGCAGATCACTCCAATGTCAAAGTAATGAGGGCAAGTAAAAACCCCCCATCCTGCATGTGAGCAGTTCCAGAGAGCAGATTCATCACCACGACACTGAACTCGATATAACCACGTTGGTCCAGATCCTTCTCCAAATGGAGCTCGACTAAGGGCCTGAACAGCAGATCCACATTGCAGTTGCTTACAAACAACCTCAGCATCTTCTGTGGTCCAGTCACCATCGCACACAGTTCCCCACTGCTCCTCATGTTTTACTTCCACTCTGCCAGAGCAGGGGCTCGTTCCATTTGACAGCCTCAATTCATCAGCACCTTCATAAACAGAGACAGCAAGGTTATGGAAAGAACAGTGCCTAATCATGATTATCTACTGCAGATGGTTAAGAGGTTATTATTACTCCTAATTTACTCTTAAAATGGATTTATTTGGTTCATCTTTCTAAAGAGTCCAACTTAAAGTTTTTTTTGCAGGGAGTTGTGTCTGTATTTACAAGTTCAAGATAACTGCACTGCTAAAATGCAAGTTATTTCTAATGACAAGTGAGTTTTCTCTTCTTCTGACCTATCAGGGCGGGCAAAGGCTGAGTAATGGCCTTGCTGTGTGATTCACAAAGGCTTCAACAGAAACTCCTCCTTTCTCTCTGTTGTTCTGCCATGATGATATCCAGTTGAAAATGTTCACTGGGGACCAGTTTCTTCCCATGTTCGATATCGTTTGAAGAATCAATTTCCCTTGTGTGCTTCAGCTTCTTCCTCTCAGACAAACTATTACTTGCAATTCGGTGTCCTGATACTCTTTATTCTTTCCCTCCTTTCTTGCCCTAGCCACCGAGTTCCCTAGTCAGGGGTACCTGATGAGAGAAGAGAATTACTCATGAGGGATGGCAGGCTGTCTTAGGAGATGCAGCAGCATAAGCATAAGCAGAAAACAGACAGGCAGGTCTTCATGTTGTTCCTCATGCCCCACCATCTCTTGGAGTCTGGCTGATGCCCAAAGAACCCTCTTTTTCTGCTCTGCTCCCAGGTTTGCCTCTTTGATATGGATACACATTTCCCAGTCCTTTTACCTGTGGACTCACAAAATAACATTACAGTCATCACAGAGCACTTGATAAAAAGCCTGACAGAAGGGGGAAGATGCAGATGTTGGCTTCTTGATTTGCAGTGTTGGACTGCTACTATAGATGCTTCAGATATTATACAGTAGCTTAACACAGAGACTTAAAGGCTAGAAAACACAGCGAGAATTTTGTTACATTCAAATGCAGGACTGATGGTGGGAAACAGAAGCAGTTCTTAGGAAGCCAAGCTACACAAAGGCCTGCCAGGACTCAAGAAACACAGGCAAAGAAGTCTGAGCCTGCATCTTACACGAACACAGTAATCACTGGAAAAAGTGAAGCACGTAGCCTAAGATGTAATGACACAAAGAAAAAAAGTGGACTTGTTCAAAAAATGTCTTAACAGCTTTTTCCCAGTCACGAATTTTAAGGCAAGACCTTTGGAACATCTTTTCATAAAAAAAAAAGATTCTTTACTTGCAGAAAGGTTCATATCTGCTTGAGTAAAAAGCATGCACAGAATCACAGATGTGGAATTAATATTCTGAATTGACATAGACAATGATTTACTGTAGATGCTTGTGAAAACAAATGTTGAAACAAAAAAACCGATCTCAAATCTTCTGCCAAATTCCATCAAAAATGGTCAGTGTTATAATTAAACAACAATATGGATGGCATTGATTTGTTATTTCTTTTTGGGGTAAAAAAAAAAAAAAAGCTTGTCTCCACATGCAGAGAACTGAGGAAAAATGGCGGGGGCAGGGGGGGCAACCCCAGTAATCCATTCAGGGCCCTGCCCTAAGGCTCTATCAGCAGATAGATTATGGGATGTTTAGGAGAGGAATCAAAGGTGGGGAAAGGCAGGGATCAAGGATGTTTGGGTAGGAGCAAGGGTGGGACAATAGAAGGGTAAGTGGATAAAAGGACCAGAGTCAATGAGCATGAACTGAAACACCGGAGTTTCCATCTGAACACCAGGAAACACTTGTTTACCATGAGGATGACTGAGCTCTGAAACAAGTTATCCAGGGAGGTTGTGGAGCTGACTTCCTTGGAGATATTCAAAAGCCATCTGGACATGGTCCTGACAACTGGCTCTAGGTGGCCCTGCTTGAGCAGGTGGGTTGGACCAGATAACCTCTAGAGGTCCCTTCCAACCTTAACCATTTTGATTCTGTGAAAAGCGGCCAGCAGTGGCTAAGCAGGCTGCTGGTCAGTATGCTTGTCTGGCTATGCCCTGCACCTAATCATCACTGTCTGTTGTGTCTTCTTATTAAAATCTATTTTTAACTGTTTTCCTAGGTGAGGTGACTCTCTTCAGTGTGCATGTGTGTATATGGAGGCCTAAGTGCCAGCAACGGGAGCTGGACCACAGGTCATAGAAGCACGTGTCTTTGGTGCTGTACTGGTTTTGGCTGGGACAGAGTTAAGTGTCTGCATAGTAGCTTGTATGGGGCTCTGATTCGGCTTTGTCCTGAAAACAGTGTTGATAGCACAGGGATGTTTTAGTTGTTGCAGAATGGTGCTTATGCAGCATCAAGGCCTTTTCTGCTTCTCACACTGCCTTGCCAGTGTGTGGGCTGGGGGTTGGGGGTACAGAAGAAGTTGGGAGGGGGCACAGCCGGGACAGCTGACCCCAGCTGACTGAAGGGATAGTCCATGCCATATGATCATTGTGCTCAGCAATAAAAGCTTGGAGAAGAAGGAGAAAGGAGGGGTGTTCAGAGTTAGGATGTTTGTCTTTCCAGGTAACTGTTATGCGTGATGGATCCCTGCTGTCTTGGAGATGGCTGAACATCTGCCTGCCAATGGGAAGGAGTGAATGAATTCCTTATTTTGCTTTGTTTCCATGTGCAGATTTTACTTTACCTATTAAACAGTCTTTATCTCAACCCATGAGCTTTTCTCACTTTTACTCTTCTGATTCTCTCCCCAGTCTGTAACTGTTCACTCAACTCCCGGTCAGATTTTGGCTAACACAGTTCATGCTAAGGCATGCTGTAGGCTGGGAGCAGCACCATTAGGTCAAAGGGAGAGCACCACATAGGCAGGACAGGCACCCGGAAAGAGCTAAAGAGCCATTGTACAGCCATTATCAGCTGCAGCTTGCTGGCTTCTGCAGCCGTTGTCTTTTGCCTGACAGTTTTTTCAGAATCTGCTAACTTACGGAAATGGTACAGACCAAACTTCCAAGCTGGAAGGTGTAAAACATCAGCTTACATGAAAAGCCTTTGAAGGAGATGCATCAGCAGTTGGATTGCTGAGGCTTTTGTTCTTCCTGGTGTGATACAGGGTACACTTGCACCATGATGGAGGAGGAAGGATGAGCACTCTCACTGTCGGCTCGGTGACTATTTTTTTTTTTGCTCATAGGTGCATGAATTAAGAGTTACAACTTATAAGTTATGAAATCTTTTGAACTGAATCAGTGAATTCACATGACACACTAGTCTGGGCAAAGGGAAAAGGAGCCTCTGTTGTTGTGTTTGTTTATCGTATTTCTTAATGAGCTCCTAAAATACATTTTAATTCACAGAGTATGTTGTCCTGTAAATTAGAGAGATCCAAACATCTTTCACTAGATCAGATTGCTCAAAGCCCCATCCAACCTGACCTTGAATGTTTCCAGGGATGGGGAATCTGCCACCTCTCTGGGCAACCTGTTCCAGTGTTTCACCACATGCACTGTAAAAAATTTTTCCCCTACATCCAACCCAAATTTCCCCCCTTTCAGTTTAAATCCATTGCCGCTTGTTCTGCCACTACAGGCCCTGGTAAAAAGTGTCTTTGCATCTTTCTTATAAGCCCCCTTTAAACACTGAAAGGCCACAAGGACTTGTCCCTGGAGCCTTCTCTTCTCTAGGCTGAACAGCCCCAACTCTCTCAGCCTTTCCTCACAGGAGAGGTGTTCCAGCCCTCTGATCTTTTTTGTGGCCTCCTCTGGACCTGCTCCCACAGGTCCGTGTCTCTCTTCTGCTGGAGACCCCACATCTGGATGCAGGACTCCAGGTGAGGTCTCACAAGAGCAGAGTGAAGGGTCATAATCGCCTCCCTTGAGCTGCTGGCCACGCTGCTCTTGATGCAGCCCAGGATATGACTGGCTTTCTGGGTTGCAAGTGCACATTGTTGGCTCATGTCATTTGTCACTCACCAGTATCCCCAAGTCCTTCTCTGCAGGGCTGCTCTCAACCCCTTCATCCCCCAGTCTGTACTGATCCTGGGCATTGCCCCGAGCCAGGTGCAGGACTTCGCACTTGGCCTTGTTGAACTTCACAAGGTGAGGTTCTTATTTGTCCATTTCTTAAACCTTTCAGGGTCCCTCTGGATGGCATTGCTTCCCTCTGTGTATCAACTGCACCACTCAGCTTGGTGTCATCTGCAAACTTGCTGAAGGTGTGCTCAATCCAGCTATGTTATTAATAAGGATATTGAACAGTACTGGTCTCAGTACAGACCTCCTAGGGATACCAGCTGTCACCAGTCTGCTTCTGGACGTTGAACCATTGACTGCAACTCTTTGGATGCGGCCATTCAGATAATTGCTGATTCATTGAATAGTCCATCCATCAAACCCATATATCTCCAATTTAATGACAAGAATGTTGTGTGGACCATGTCAAAGGCCTACAGAAGTTAAGATAGATTACATCAGTTGCTCATGATAAGGCCATTGGTACTCTTTGTGTTTGTGTCACAGATTCATGTTTCTGTCTGTGTGGCCAGCCATGTACAGGTGTATATGTGCGTGCATGCGCGCATATCTGTATATCAGTATATGTGTGTTACATATGTGTGTGCCCATTGGGACTGGAAGTTAGCCTTGCTACAGGTTGGACCACAGGAAATGGAGCTGTGTCTGCGTTGTCTGTTATCACACTACCACTTTCAGAAACCCTTGCACAAGAAAGGTTTTTAAGTAGGATTTTATCAAGCAGTAATCAGATATTTAAGCAGTGATAACATCAGAAAGATACATGCCTTAAACCTTGGGATATAGGCCAACCTGAAATGAAGACACATATGTAATTATTTGCTGGATATAATTGAATTACACACAGAATATTGAAATATTTGAAGGGAATTTTCTTTTTCAAGGAAAGGAAGGTCTGCAGCTTTTGTGATGGAACTAAGAAGCTTGGGGCACTTCTTTAAAACTGAAGTCTGCCTCTTGACAACTACATCATTCTGTACTCATGAAGTTTATCTGTTAACCCTGCTGTCGGCTCCTGCACCCCCTGGAACCAAGTTATTGGATATGAGTTTTGTGCTTCTTGAGGAGAAAACTTAAAAGGAGAAA